ACATTCAAGAAGAGCAAGCTATGAAGGATTGCAGATGTCAGGACAATTCTTCAGGAAACAACTAGAAAAGCTGAATAATACACAGAAAACCAGATGTTTGAAGGAACTGATAAGCAACCATGATATCCATGACTTGAATGGTCAAGATACTAAATAGAAACAAATTAAACCAAAGTATGTTGAAGGCAGGAAATAATAAAGATAAGAGAGAAATTAATGAAATGAGAAGTACAATACAGAAAAATCAACAAAGCCAAAGTTACTTCTTGAAAACACTCATAAAATTGATAACTCCCTAACAATATTTATCAGGAATAAAAAAGAAAAGATGCAAATTAACAATAACAGCTGGAAAAATAAATACAGACACTAAAATACTGAGGATATTAAGAACAACTGTATTCCAACAAAATGTAAATGGATTGCAAATTCCTTGAAAAACATAACTTACTAAAACTGATATAAAAATGAATAAAAAGTTGACTAATCCTGTATCTATTAAAATAATTGTATCTGCAATTAAAAATCTTCCTGCAAAGAACACTCCAAGCCCAAAATTCTTCTGAGCATTTAAAAAAGAAGAATAGTAACCTGTTTTGTGATGCCTGAGTAACTTTAACAATAACCTGGTAAAGACTATACAAAAGACTTTCCAGCTATTATTGTTAATTTGCAACTTTTCTCTTTATATAGACACAAAAATCCTAAATACACTATTAGCAAATTAAATGCAGTGGTGTATTAAAAAAGTATAATACATCATGATCAAGTAAGGTTTATTGCAGCAATGCAAGACCGTTTTAGCATTTGAAAATCAATTAATATAATAAACTACATTTTACAAAATAAAAGAAAAATACTATATGATCATCCTACTAAGTGAAGAAAAAGCACTTGACATATCCTTTCTTTAAGTGACTGTTACTAATAAACTAAGAATAACAGAGAACTTCTTTAATTTGTTAAAGAGTTTCTATGAATTTGATAGAGAAATATTAAAGATTTTCTTTTTGAGATTGAGAGTAAGACAAAGATGCTCATACCACAGCTTCTATTCTGCACTGTGCTAGAAGTCCTAAAAAGTGTAATGAAAGAAGCAAACAAAAAAAAGATACAAAATCTATAACTAGAAAGGAAAGAACAAAACTACCATTATTTGAAACCAATATGATTGCAAAAATTCAAAAGAACCTACCAATAAAAAATGAGAATTATTATATAAATTTAATAAGGCCCTGAATATAGATCAATGAAAGTCAACTGTATACATGAATCTAGCAACAAACAATTAGAAAATGAACTTTGATAAGAATATTTGCTATAGCAAAAAAATCAAATATCTAGGAGTAAATCTAAACAAATATGTAAACATTTTTAAAATAGAAATTACTGACAAAATTAAAGACAACCAAAATAGTTATAAGAATATACAATGTTCATGGATTCAAAGCATCAATAATGGAAAGATGTCCATTTTATCCAAATTTACCTATAAATTCAATGCAATCCTAACTAAACTGCCAGTAGATAATTTTTGTGGAGATTGACAAGTTGATTCCTAAGTTTAAAGGGCAATGTCAAGAGACAAAAGTGTGATTTCAAAAAACATCAACAAAACCAAGTGTTAGAAAGAATTTGAAGCAACTAGAACTGCTGACTAGAGCCAGTGAAAATTGATACCACAGCTTTGGAAAAGTGCATGGCACTGTGTCCCAATAATTCTACAAAAAGGCAAACATCTATTCCCAGCAGCAAAATTCATCACAGCCCCAAACTGGAAACAACCCAAATGTGTATCAGTGGTAGTATGGATAAACACATTGTAATATATTCATATAATAAAAAAATGAACTTCATACAACATGAAGAATCTCATAAACATAATGTTGAGTAAAAATGACAAATGTGAAACAGTACATACTGTCTGATTCCAGTCACATAAAACTGAAAAATAAGAAAAGCTAATGGTGGTGATAGAAGTGCTAATAGTAGTTACTTTGGAGTGGGGTAGTATGACTGGGAAGGGGAACAAGAGTGCTTTGGGTGATGCTGGTAATATATTTTTTTAAATCTTAAACTATAAACATATGATGTATACACTTCCCTGGGTGATTAAATACCAACCCCCTCCCCCAGTTTTGTAAACATGGAAAAATAACCAGGAAAATTATGACTAACATCAGGTGTAAGAATAATCTAGATCTATGAACTATTACAATGTATTGTGCACCTACATTAATTAAAAAGAGTGTGGTATTGATAGAGTAATAGATAACAGGATCAAAGAGTAGGTCCAAAAATAGACCTAAATGAAAAGTGGAATTTTTGTACTATGTGTATGTACACAGTTACTTGTAATGTTGGGCACTGTTAGATTTCAATAAACTAAGTGAATAAATCAGATTAAAATCCTAGGTTATCCAAAAGAAGTATATCTCTAAAACAAACATGTAAAACCACAAGCCCCATGTAAAATGTAGAGCAAAAAATTTCTATCATGTCTCAACAACCAACAGAAAGAAACCAGATTTTCCCATATACTTTTCTTCTCTCTTTAAGATGATTAATAGATTAAAAGTGGGTGGGCAGCAAGGGTAACAGACTTTCTTATTATCTGAAAACAGTCGAAAAATTGACCCCGTACCCTTTTGTTTATAATCTGTAGGTAGTGGAAATGTCTGTTTGGTGTTATTTTTTAATAAGTACAGGATTATAAAGAGTATGTATCATTTTAAATGATAGAACCCTGCCTCAAATCAAAAAGTAATTTCTTAGTCTCTTTACTTCAAAAGTTGAAGTGTAGATTTTGCTTTGGAAGAGGCCAAATACAGGAGATTAAATAGTGTTATCACAATCTAGCTTCTTTCTCAGACAGCCATTTTCCCTGTGATCACAAGATGGCTGCCAGCAGCTCCCTGGCTAGCATCTTTCTGAGTTTCCATCCCTTGAAACTGTAAGAATCTTTGTCCTAGCATTCCCTGAAAGGCCTTATTGAATTTCTTTGGCTCCACCTGTGTCACACCCATTTCTGAACCAAACAGTCTGCATTGATTTGAGTAGTTTGCTTCTAAATTGCATGCTCCATATCTGAGCCATGGAGGCATCAACCATGGGCTGAGAGTCAGAAATGAAGTGGACTCCAGAGGGAAATTGAAGTGAGGCAGCTAAGAAGAGGCTGGATGAATTCCAGTAGAAAAATGTCCACTCTGGAGTAAAATACACTTGGGATGGGGGCAGAAGAAGGAGAGGTCCTATGAATTTAACCTTGACATTTGTTTATTGATGTTAAAAACTAGATAGCTGCTAAGGCTGAATGTTTGTATTCTCCCAAAATTCATATGTTCAAGTGATGGTATTTGAGATGTGGCCTTAGGGAGGTAGTTAAATCATGATGTTGGAGCCCTCAGGAATTAGGTTAGTGCCCTTGTAAAAAGAGATAGAACAGAGATGGCATCTCTCTCCTTCATATGAGGACATAGCAAGTAGGTGACCATTTACAAACCAGGAAGAAGACCTGGAACTTCACCAGCACTGAATCAGCTGGTACCTTGATTTTGAATTTCCCAGCCCCCAGAACTGTGCGAAATAAATTCCTGTTGTTTAAGCCACCCAGTTTGTGGTATTTCATTATGGCAAGTTAGAGCAGATTAAAACTATAGCCAAATCTCACTTTTTAAAAAAGTAAAGATATAATGAGGCAGGAAAAAATATTCTCTGTCCTCCATACCTCCCAGTGTTTCCAAGTTTTCCGCAGTTATTTGAGTGACAGTGCTTGCTTCCATGAGCCAGCCTAGAGTGTAAAGTGAGTGATCAGGATAATCGATGATGGCTGCCCCTACAGAAAGACCATCTTCTACCAAAGGAGCTGTTTCTTCTGTTAATACTCTCTTTCTATTACTGGTTTTAAATAATCTTCCTGACAAGATTCTGTTTTTCTATCTGTCAACTGTCGGTAAACAGGTATTGGGCATTATTTGTGGAGCTGTAAATACATTACATGAAAAAATAATGAGTCCTTAAAAAGTCAAGAGAAATGTCTCCAGAGACATTTACCTAACATGATGATCTAGGAAGGTCCAGGAATGAAGTTTCAGAAACTTTCGAATGAAAAGTCTGGAACATAAAATCTCTTCCAAATCTGCCTTTGTTGTAGCCCCTAGACACATTTTCCTTTTACTTTTGTCTGGAAGTTGGAGAACGTTTTTCATGTTCAACTTAAATTGTTTAGTTAATGGTCTAAGAATACTTTCGGGACCATCCCTCAGCGTAGCATGTTATCACTCCATTCTTCTGACTGAATTTGATGTATCTATTGTGTTCTTGCTGCATAAACTGATCTCTGGGATTAATCATTTTCTTTTTACCAGCTAGAAACTGTAGACATTTAATGGATATACCTACATCAGTCAATTTAATGAGTCTCATTGTATAGGGTTTGAAATGTACTGATCATCCTAATGTTGAAATATAATAGACATTCATCCTTGTCTCAGGTTTCCAAGTTTTCCAAGTTTGTCCCTCCTGCCTGTCTGAGGAAGATAATTTTCGTTTAAGGGGGTTTATTGTTTGTTTGTTTGTTTAATTTAGAGCCTGGGAACTCAAGTGCATCTACTGGGTGATGCGCAGAAGGGGTTAAGCGATCTTTGCTCCCTTTACTAAGGCACACCTTAAGTAAATCACTTGACTTCAGTTTCTTTAAAAGGGACTATTTTGTCATCTTAGTAGGCATTGTTCCATGAAAGGATCATGATGGTAAATATTACCCAGGGGTGTCTCTGGCAGTCTTACAGCTGGAAAGAATGGGATGGTGACATGGCTGTGGCATCTGTCACTAGGAGGGCAGGGCCCCTGCACCCTTCCAGAAGCTGAGCACAAGGTTGAAGAGGTGGCTTTCCCGGATAAAGGAGTCCTATCCATTCAATCAAATACAGTTTTAAGAAAGTAAGTGGACACAAACCTGAGTCACAAATAATGGGTTTTGGTTTCTGTTTTGTTTTCAGTTGTTCGAATTTATGAACTTTTTGGCTGAGAACGTCATCTTCTGTTACATGGGCATGGCACTGTTCACGTTCCAGAATCATATCTTTAATGCACTTTTTATACTTGGAGCCTTTGTATCCTTTGAAATACAGAACATGGGGTGACTACAGAAGATACCAAACTACTTATTTTTGCTGATTATTCTGTTGAATTGTTAAAGCAACTTCCTCAGATTCACCACAAAGCTCAAACTGCAGGCAAATATGTGATTTCTAGTTAGGGGAAAAAAGCATCTCAAGAAACTGGGGCCTTAATTAAATACTTACAGTTAAGGATAAGAAGTTTGGAAAATATTGAGGGAAATAAAGGGGAAAATCTAAAGGAAAATGATATTTTCAAGTATTCAAAGTATTTTTAACTAAAATTATATCATTTATATAAAAATTATCTCAATCCATTCTTTATAGAGAAATACATTTAATCTGCATTAGAGTATATCAGAGTATATCATCCAGGATTATTAAGTTTTAGAAATGTTTTTATTATAAGATAATAAAATCTTTTTTCCAGTGAGGACTGAAAATGGGGTAGAGTAAAGATCAAATGAAATTAGCATGATAAATGTGCTTTCAATATCATAAGCATTGTGCATATGTAAGTATATTTTAATAAGATAGCATCTTTCCCTCCCTATGAGGCCAGATAAAATCTAGCCTCTTTAATCTGCATTAAAACCTCACTTTTAACACAGACAACTTTTCTAGCCTAGGCCTGGGGCAGTAGGCATTCCCAAAGGGAATGGATGTCTGTCTGAAAGGATGTTGGGCCATTAGGACTGTCCCCAAGAATGGTCAGCAGCTGTTGTCCTTCTTCCCATTTGGAAAATGGGCAGACACCCACTCAGATCACAGGCAGATAATCGTAACAGCCAAGAGAACCAACCCCTCTTGATAAGTCCTGTTCCAACTAAGCATCTGCATTTGCTTCTTAGTCTCTTTTTTTTTTGAGCATTCAGATGAACTCTCAAATTTTATCTAAAGCCTGGATTTTAGAAGGAAGCTCCCTCTTCCCAAATAAATCCATCCCATTATGGACAAACTAGAATAGACTACCAGGAAAAGAGTCAAAAACAACAAAAAGGGAGATTCAAACCACCAATATTTTCAAAGATTTTTACTTATAAAAACTTAGATTTTAATAAAATGCCTCTTAAAACAACAGTTGTATTATACAGTTAGGTAATTCCTCTCAAAATTAAATCCATTAAAAGAAAAAAGCAGGCAAAGCTTGCTAGATACAGGGAGTATAACTGATGGAAAGTAAGGTGATTATCCTGAGCAGAAGTAAATTTATCTTTTCTAAAGTGCTGTTTGAGAAGATAATGCCGCAGCATCTGAATGGTCTCTGCCTCACATTTTACAGCAGAATTGAAGATAGAGTCAGTCATCAGCAATATAAATGTGATAAGAAATTTTACAATGATTGAAATGGTTTTGGGCTAACAATTTAAAACCAGGTATATATTGAAAGAAAGGCAGAGTTCTCTATTATATCTGGAAAGGAATTGACATTGAAAGATAAATTTTGGAGATAAGTTAGAAATACATGAATGGACATGTTTATCCCTGTTTTCTGAGTCATAATGTGGAGGAGCTTAAGGTCATATTTAAGCTCAAGGACTCAAACCCTCATTGCAGTAACATTTTCCTCAATGTTTCCCTGTATGTATATCTACAGCTAGCAATTTTTGTTGCCAGAGCCTGCAACATATATCCCCTCTCCTTCCTCCTGAATCTGGGCCGAAAACAGAAGATCCCCTGGAACTTTCAGCACATGATGATGTTTTCAGGTATGTGAACTACCTTATATGGCAGTGTTGCTGTCCTCTCACACCTTCATAGAACATGGATTACCATGAAGAGACTTATAAGCCATTTTGGGAAGCAACTTCTCTTTACCCCAGGCTACCTATCACCATGCTGATACTCTACGTTCTGAGCAACAGCAAAATTTCTCTTTCCAAGAGGGAAATGAAATTAAAGGGAATATTGTTGATATGGCTTCAAGGTATCATATCTGGTCAGAAACTGGCCTAGAATGGACATTGGACTTTTCCCTGAACTATTTCAGATCAATTTTCATATTGGGGAATTGGAATTATCATTTCATAATTGCATGCTCTACGTAAGTAAGTATGTAAGTGGTACCATCATCCTTGGCCAATATTAAAGCACCTTCTCCTTAGAATCCCTGCTTTTTCCCTATGCAAAAGTCCAGAAACTTCTCATGGTTAATACAAAAGCAAATCAGATCAAAATATGCTCAATTGTTAGTTAAGAAGACAAATATTATCGAGCACTCACCAAATGCCTGAGAGCAGTTCTAGACACTGGTTGACGAAACTAACATGGTCTCTGCTCTCAGAAAGGTTATATTCTAATCGCTTAAGCCATACCTGCAGGCTCCTTTCCAAAAGAAAATAAACCAAATAAATTTTCTGATCCTGGACTACTCTGGAGATTGCAGTTTCCTTCTATTCTCTCAATTTTCCTGCCATGAGTCTTTCCTTGTTCTGAGACCTTGTGCAGAGACCCTTACCTGTCTCCCGTGTGTGTACACTTACAATACACTCAGGGGAAGTCCACTGGAGGATATATGAGTATATAAAAAACCTGATATCAATAGAATAGCATGAAAAAAGATAATCTGGGATACAGAAGGGCAGATGGAGACACTAAGGGTCAGGATTTCAAAGGGGTTAAGAAACTTGGCCGAGGACAAAAGCATTCCCAAACCCAGGTCTGTGAGATTCCACATCAAACCCAACCATGTGTCTCAATGTCTACATTCTTAAAAGTAGTACTAGGAATAAAAGACTTGTTTCACCTTCAGTGCCATCCTAGCAGGTCCACAGAATAAAGGGAGGCAGCTCCCAAGATAAGAGTGAGCCCTTTAATCCAAAGTTTAAAATTGCCTTGATAGGGCTTCACTACATTTCCAGACATGCTAAGGTGAGAGAGACAGAGTCATAAAGAAAATGAGAAATTGGACTGGTAGGTGATCTTTGACTTAGAACAGCAATGAACTTTGGCAATGAATTGAATTCTATTATGAGAAAACAAAATGTAAATTTGATCATTTATAAATAGAAAGCCAGCATTGGGTTGCATTTTTACAAAGCATTTCTAGGAGTTAGAAAGCACTTTTCTTTCTTTCCCATCAAAACATCAGTAACTTTACTCTGGAGAATAGCAGCTTACTTTCAAAGCTTGGATATTATATTTTAAACATGGCTTTATTTGACAAAGAATGCTTTGAGGAAATATATAATTCTTTTAGATAATCATGTTAGGATGTGAACATGATTATCCCAAATGGCCACCTGGCTTGATGGTTTCTCCAGGTTTTGGCACCTTCTAAGTTTGCTTAGCTGCAGGATTGGAGCTGCATTAAAAGCAGAGAGAGGCTAGGAATATGTTGTGTACAGCCAGGAGATGGGAAGCCGCCCAGAATTTGTCATCTTTATGATATTCTAAAGCAGGGAGTCAGCAAACTATGACTCTTGAACGAAATCTGGCCTGTGCCTATTTTGCTAATAAAGTTGGAACTCAGCTCTACCCCTTTGTTTACATATTGCCCATGGCTATTTTTGCACTATGGCAGCTGAGTTGAATAGTTGCAACAAAGACCGTATGATTCACAAAACCTAAACTATTACTGGGTGGCCTTGTTCTAAAGCATCCTCACTCTTTAGAAGAAAAATAATAACCCCATCACATTAATGGGGTTGAAATTATTAGTTAGTTCATGGGAATGTCAATCACTAGTTCCCATCGTTAAAAATACAAACATATGCCATATTTTTAGGATACCTACCTACATATGACACTGATGTCCATAGAATACCACTGATTGTCTTCCACATTGAGCACCCATGTCATCTGCCATGTATAAAGTCACCATTCACAGGTTAGCAGCTTAAACTCAGTTGCAGTCATGTTAGGCCAAGATAGGCTTCTTTTTATATATTTGATTAGATTTTTGTTTTGTACACTTTTCCCATTTAAATGAATCTGAACAAAACAGAGATTAGGTTTCCTCTTTATATTTTAATGCCATTTTTATTAAAAGTTAATATCGATAGTACTCCTTTGTATGGTGGAAAGAACATTGGATTTTCCACTATAAAGTTATCTTTTTAGCTTTCAAATAAGGAGATAGCAATGTTACATGGTTATATAGTAGAATCATAAATGCTATGATTCCACTATAGTCACTTTACACATTGCAAGAGCTTTCATAGGTACTGTTTTGAGACTCATAGCCAGGGCAAGGTAGGGTAGGCATTATTGGTCTCTTTTTTTTTCCTTCTTTTTTTTTTAATTATGGTAAAATACACATGGTATAAAACTTACCACCTTAACCATTTTTAAGTGTACGGTGATATTAAATACATTCATAATGTACAATTATCACCACAGTTCTTCTCTATAACTCTTTGATCTTGTAAAACTGAAACTCTATACTGGTCAAACAATAATAACTCTCCCTTCCTCTTCTCCCAATTCCTGACAACAACAATTTTTCTTTCTGTCTCTATCTATGTTTTTGAGTACTCTAGGTACCTCATATAAGTGGGGTCAAAGTATTTGTCTTTTTGCGATTGGTTTATTTCACTTAGCAAAATGTACTCAAAGTTCATCCATGTTGTAGCATATCACAGAATTTCCTTCCTTTTTAAGGCTGAATAATTTTTCTTTGTATGTATAATCCACATTTTGGTTATCCATCCATTAATCAATGGACACTTGGATTGCTTCCACAATTTAGCTATTGTGAATAACACTACTGTGAACATGGGTGCACAAATATATTCTGTCAACCTTTTCAATATATACACAGAAGCAGAATTGCTGGATCATATAGTAATTCTATTTTTAATGTTTTGAGGAACCGCCACACTGTTTTCCATAGCAGGTATAACATTTTACATTCTCACCAATACAAAGGTTCTAATTCTCTACATCCTGGCCAACACTTATTGTGTTCTGAGTTGCTTTTCTTTCTTTTTTTTTTAATAGTAGCTATCCTAATAGGTATAAGATAGTATCTCATTGTTCTGATTTGAATTTCCTTAATCATTAGTGATGTTGAGCATTTTTTCCATGAGTTTATTTGGCCATTTATATATCTTCTTTGGAAAAATGCCAAGTCTTTGATTTTAAAATTAAAATAAAGTCTTTTGTCTTTGTGTTGTTGAGTTTTAGTTCTCTATATTTCCTAGATATTAATCCCTTATCAATATACCATTTGCAAATATTTTCCTTCATTCCATAGGTTGCCTTTTTTACTCTGTTTATATTATTTTTGATGCAAAAGAGTTTTTAATTTACATAAAATCAAATTTGTCTATTTATTCTTTTGTTGCCTATGACTTCAGTGTCATATCCAAGAAATTATTGACAAATTTGATGTTGTGAAGTCTTTGCCCTGTGTTTTTTCTAAGAGTTTTATAGATTTAGGCCTCACATTTAGGTCTTTGATCCCTGTGAGTTAATTTTTGTATATGGTGTTACATAAGAGCACATCTTCATTCTTTTGTATGTATATATCCAGTTTTCTCCTCAGTACCATTTGTTGAAAAGACTATCCTTTCCACATGGAATGGTCTTGGCATACTTGTCAAAAATCATTTGATCACTTATGTGAGGATTCATTTCTAGACTCTCTATTCCATTGGTCTATATGTTTGTCTTCATACCAGTACCACATTGTTTTGATTACTGTAGCTCTGTAGAAATCTGGAAGCATGAGTCCTTCAGCTTTCTGAAGAGTGCTTTAGTTATTTAAGGTCCCTTGAGATTCCATATGAATTTGAGTATGGATTTTTCTATTTCCACAAAAAAATTCCATTGATGTTGATAGGGATGACATTAAATCTGTAGATTGATGTGAGTAGTATTGACATCTTAAGTCTTCCAATCCATGAACATGGCATGTGTTTTCATTTTTGCATGTTTTCTTTAATTTCTTTCAGGAATGTTTTGTAGTTTTTATTGTAAAAGTCATTCATCTTGGTTAAGTTAATTCCTAAGTATTTTATTTCTTTTTATGCTATTTTAAGTGAAATTATTTTTATAATTTCCTTTCAAATTGTACATTGTTAATGTATGGAAATGTTACTGATTTTGTATGTTGATTTTTGTATCCTGCTACTTTGCTAAATTCATTTATTAGCTTCACTTTTTTCTCAAGTGTTTCTAGACATTTATTAGCTTTAACAGGTTTTTTGCCTGTGGACTCATTAGGATTTTTTATATATAAAATCATTATCTTCAGAGATAATTTTACTTCTTCCTTTCCACTTTTAATGTCTTTATTTCTGTTTCTTGGCTATTGCTCTGGTTAGAATTTCCAGAACTATGTTGAACAAAAGTGGTGAAAGTGGGCGTCTTGTCTTGTTCCTGACGTTAGAGGAAAAGCTTTCAGTCCTTCACCATTGAGTATAATGTTTGCTGTATTTACTATGGGCTTTTCATATATGGCTTTTATTATGTTAAGATAGTTTCCTTTGATTCCTAGCTTGTTGAGTCATATTTATCATGCACCATTGAATTTTGTCAAATACCTTTTCTGTATCAATTGAGATGATCATTTTTTCTCTTCATTTTGTTAATGTGGCATATTATATTAATTGATTTTTGTGTGTTGAACCATCCTGAGTTCCAGGAACAAATCTCACTTGGTCATGGCTTATAATCTTTTAAATATGCTACCAAATTTGATTTTCTAGTACTTTGTTGAGAATTTTAGCATCAGTGTTCATAAGGGATATTGGTCTGTAGTTTT